ATGATCATAATGCTATTATTCATGCTGCTACTTCTACTAGTATCAACCGTAGGAATGATAGCAATACTAATACTACCAATGCCAGTGCAATCCTATTGATACTAAACACCGGTAGTACTATTACTATTAATGCCAGCACTGCCAATATAAATCACCGGTAATCATACGATGAATAATAGTATGCAGACCTAATATTACGACTTCTAGTAATACTCAGAAGAAGAGTAAGAACCATGATCATAGTAACAAGAAAGAGAGTGCTGTTACGAACAATATGGCTAGTACAAATAATTTTTGGCATGCCGCTCATAATAGCCACACTTCTAACATGACTAATAGTATTGTTCGTAATTCGACCGCTACTGGTGAATAGCAGTAGTGATGTTAAACAGAAGCAGAACGCTAATACATTAACAGTAATGAACGTACGGATACTTAGAAAAGAACGATCATGATAATAACAATGGTATTGTAGTGGCCTCCGGCCAGTGCCGCCGATCCGGGGCGCTCCGGGTGCCTGTGGAAATCAACGGCGACGAGGAAGACGAAAACGACGACGAAAACGAATACGTCGACGACGACGACGACGAGAGCCACGACGACAACGACCACGACGACGACGACGACGATGACGCGAGCGACGACGACGACGACGACGACGACGACGACGACGACGACGACGACGACAACGACGTGACGACAACGACGACGACGACGACGGGGGTGGAGCTGGGTTGCAGGGGGGGGGTCTGCTCTGCAGGGGGGGTCCGCTCGGCAGAGGGAGGGGCTGCAGGGGAGAGGGGGGGTCCGCTCTGCAGGGGGGGGGCTGCAGGATGGGGGGTCTGCTCTGCAGGGGGGGGGGTGCAGGGGAGGGGGGGGGGGTCCGCTCTGCAGGGGGGCGGGGCTGCACGGGGGGGGGTCCGCTCTGCAGGGGGGGGGGGGGGCTGGGCTGCAGGGAGGGGGGTCCGCTCTGCAGGGGGGGGGGTCGCTCTGCAGGGGAAGGGGTGCAGGGGGGGGGGTCTGCTCTGCAGGTGGGGGGGGGTGCAGGGGAGGGGGGGGGGTCCGCTCTGCAGGGAGGGGGGGCCGCAGGGGGGGGGCTGCAGGGGGGGGAGGGGGGGGGGTGCAGGGGAGGGGGGGGTCGCTCTGCAGGGAGGGGGGGGTGCTGCAGGGGGGAGGTCCGCTCTGCAGGGGGGGGGGGAGGGCTGGGCTGCAGGAGAGGGGGGGGGGGGCGCTCTGCAGGTGGGGGGGGGTCCGCTCTAGAGGGGGGGTGGGGCGAAGCACTGAATTAGGTCGGAAATAGGTCGGAAATGAGGTCCCCCCCCCCCTCGGCAGAGCGAAGCTTGAGCGAGCTCAAGCCCACGCTCTCAGAAACTCACACGCCGGATCGGCGGATTATTTCTGTTCTTGTTACGACTACTAATACCAGCACTTATCACAATCCACATAAGAAGAAGCGGAGCGGCAGGCGGGCGGCGTTCCAAGCAGCGGGAGGCCGGTGCCAGCATCACGGGGAAGGCCTTCGGGGGTACAGGACTCCCGGGCGGAGCATGAGGGATGCCAGAGGCCGGCCGCGCGAGGGCGCTCGAAGAATGCGCAGGGAAAGTTTTCGGACAGGAAGTTGGCGCACGCGAAGTGCCAAAAAGGACGGCGACCAGCGGGCTGGGGCCGAAGACCCTTTAGGGAAAGGCCCTGAAGTAGTGAGCACCATGAAGTGGACGCACTCGAACGGGCACGGACGCTGAATCCCGTAGGAGCCGAGAAACTCAGGGAGGAGCCCAGAACATGGGCCCAAGCACCATGGACCAACCGGCACGCAGGGTGACAGGCTGGGTGGTGTCGGTCGGGAAGCGTCGGCCACGCGAAGCGGAGGGCAGTGGGATGGAAACGGATTCTTAGAAGGAGGCTGCTTCTTAAAAAGCGTGGGCCTTGTCTATAGAGTTGCACGGCCGGCACCTTCTAAGAAGCAGCCTCCTTCTAGTAAGCCTTCCCCCGTCCCCCTACCCCCTTCTGCGCGCCGCCAAAAGCGTAAATGGCGCCGCAGGATGGCGAAGGATGTGGCCAGGCCGTCCAGAAAGGCCGGAACAACACCCGTGTCGAACACCACGAGGGGGACCTTTGCCGGAATTCATGGGGAAGACATCGTGGGCGGGCCCGCGGCATGGCATGGGGGGGCGGCGCCGTGGCGGCGCGGCCAGGGGGAGGGAGAGAGACGGCAAGGAGGAAGGGGGAACAGCCCGAAACACGGGCAAAAGGACAAACAGAACGACGGGCGGAGAGCCCACGCACCGTGTGAGGATCTGGGTATTTGGGTAGCCGGTGAAATCAGGGCATTCAAGGTGGGGCGAAAGGCCTAGACGCGACGGAGACCAGACGAGAGCGTGAAGGCCCGCGAGTCGAGGGCCCAGAGCCAAGCATCGGGGTGGGCAGAGGGGCGTGGGGTTCCCATGCATGGCCCTCGGGGCCGCAGGACCCTCATCGCTCCTCGTAGCGGCCTCTCTTGTCGTGCTCCCAGGTGTCGCGCTGCGCCGAGGTGGTGCCTGAGCTTCTCCAGATCGCGGTCTTGCCACCGCCCTTCCCGGCGGCGCTCTCTTTCTGCCTAGCTATGTTCTCCGATGTTCTGCGAGCCTCTTCCCAGTCAACTCGGTGGCCGCGCCGACGAGACCACTTGGTGGCATCCTGCTCTGCCTCGGCCGACTCCTTGAGAAAGTTCGCGGTATCCTCTGGGGGCTGGCCTTCGGGTCGAGGGGCGCGTTCACGGCATGCCAGGTCCAGTCGACGGTTCGGCAGTACGTGTGCCAGGCCGCCGTGAGCATGTAGCATGCCTCGTTCTGCAGCCTCTCTTGACTGCCCGCTTCTCCGATTCGCCTGGCAGCAGGTGCTAGGAGATCTGGTGAAAGGGCTTCCTTTACGAGGTGGGAGGTTGCGGCCGCCCTGTAGTTCCAGCAATCGGGCTGCCTTGCGGTGTCGGTATTGTCGTCCTGGGACCGCCACGCCATCCTGGGGCTCTCAGAGCCCCAGCCATGCCATCCTCTCCACGAGTCCTGGGGTTGCCACTGGTCCCAACTGCAGGTGGTTCATGTTGCGGCGGTGGCGCTGGCGAGCGAGAGCGCGGGCGCTCGGAGCCCGGGGGGCCTCCTGCGATGCTGCCCCTCGCTCTCGTCCTGGGGGGTGCGCCTTTCCTCCGCTCCTGGGGGTGGCGCGGTCCGTCGGGTTCCTGTGGGCTCTGCTCTTGCAGGGCAGCTGGTCCTGGCTGCTCCGCTCCGCTGCCCGTCCTGGTTCCGTTCCGATGTGGCTGGACGTTGGGAGGGAGCACCGCGCCCGAGGATCGCCCTCCGCCCACGTGGCAGAGAAAAGTCCCTCACCAGGGCTTGGCCGAGTCGCAGACAGGGGCATTCCGGCTCTGGGCATCCGATCCTGCTGGCGCGGTCGCATAGAGCCTGGCGCATGCCGTGTCGACCATCTGGGTGGCGCTTGGCCATGGTGCCCGCACAGGGCTCGTTGCGCCGAACCTGTGAGGCGAGCCTGGTAAACAGGAGTTGGCCCAGTATGCCTCCATCATCCCCAGGAAAGCAGATGGGAGCCGTTCGATGCCCATTTCCGTCCTGAGGCGAGCCCGAAGGGCTTCGGCGATGCTGGCCCAGTCGGCGGTGGAGAGAAGGACGTTCCTTGCTCCGCTCAGGACGGCGTCCGAGCACGTCTGCCCTCGGTTGTCATGCAGCCAGCTGGCCGCGCGCATGTCTTTCTCAAAGCACCCTCGGGCGGGGCTGGCACGAGGATGAATCCGTTCCAGAGCGTACCGGAACGCTATCAGAGCATCCCGGGATGCTCTGAGGAGGCCGCGCCGCCTGAGACATCTTCCAGAGCCGCCCGATCTCAGAGATTCTCGATGTATCCTCATCGGGTTTTATCCTCATCCAGGCTTCGTCTTACACCTGGTCCAGGTCTCCTCCAGGCTGGGGCCGATGCCCAGTCCGGGTACTGGAGCTGCGCCCCTGCCATAAGTTTCGAGTAGGGGATCGACCACATAATTGATATACCCCAGAATTCAATTTTTCCGCTGAATCTACGAGAAACTTGCGGAATGCTCCGTAGATCAACGGAACAGTCTATTCATTTTTGCAGATTCGAAGGGGAAGTCAATCTTGAGGTACATCAATTCTGCAGGCGATCCCCTTCTCGAAGAAGGGTCTGCAGGATCGGCCTCTTCTGCGTCGCCCAGGAGGCTCCACGGGGGCGGGGCTGACTGACGAGCGCTCGCCAGTTCCCTGTGGGGCGCCTTGGGGCCTGGGGCTCGCCCCCCCCCTCCCCTGGGGTCTTGACGCGACGCGGCGCCGCTGCGGTACCTGCCTCCACTTCTTCTCCTGGGGTTAAAATAGTCAAAACAATAGTCTGTAGACGATGTTTCTAGTATTTCTGGTAGACAATCACGTTTTTATTTGTTTTGATTCTTTTTGATTTTTCGTCCAGAGCCCGCCTGTAGGAGGACATGCCCGACCTAATCCTGGGGCCGCATCTCTCTGGGGAGGCTGGTCGGGACGGCCTGCTTGTTCAGTCGCCCTGGCGGCGGCGTCAGTCTGAGGTCAGCGGCCGCTCGCTGCTGCCCCACGGGTCGATGCGTGTGTTGCGGGCCCGTGCTGTGGGGCGGTGACGGAACGAGAAATGGAAACATGACGAGATGCCCGCGGGGGTTGCCTCCTGCTCCTGCTCCTTCTCCTCCTCCCCCCCCTCGCGGGAGCTCCTCCCCCTTCTCCTCCGCGCGTGTGTTCTTTGACTCCGCCGTTCGGCGTCCGCTCTGACAAACTGTCTCACTTTCGTGTATTACAGTCGAGAGGTAGAGGTGAGCGATTGTTTTGCGGTGCAGAAGAAACCTCCTGGCCCTCGTGGGAGCTTCAGGGTCCTTCGAGGATCCTCCCTCCAAGAACGCCTCCCGCCTCCAGCGCCACCGTGCGCCCGTGGAGCGCGCCAGCGCGTCGCCGACCCCCCACGCCCCTCCCCCCGAGAGGTGCGGCCACGAGGCGGGGAGGTTCACCGCCTCCGGAGTGTCCATGCGGGGAGCGGGGAGACGCCGCCCACCCCAGCGCTCCTTCCTCCTCCCAGACCTCCGGCGACATGCGCCCAGACATGATCGCGCCGTAACAAAAATCAGGACGGGAGGTCTTTGGCCAGTTCCGGCCTCGGGGGGCCCTCGCCGGGCCTCGGGACCGTCGAACAACGACGCAGGATGAAAAACCTGTCCCCAGGGAAAGGACTTCCAGGGGCCCGTCTCGAAAGATATCGGGAGGCCGCATGTCCGGGACCTGGGTCAGCCCGGGTGCCCGTCGCTGTTTTCCCTCCGCGACTTCTTCTGCCTCCGGGGCCCGCTGTCGGGTTCTCCGGGGCCTTCGCATGACGACGGCTCCGCGGCGCAGAGCTGACCCCCTTCGGAACGGGTCGGGAGGCCTGGGGCCGCGGATCGGAACAATCGGGCTGGAGGATGTCTGGTCGTCGTCGTCGTCGTCGCCGCCGGCGTTGCAGTCGCCGTCCCTGTCGCCATCGTCGTGGTCGTCGCCGTCGCCATCGTCATCGTCGTCATCGGCGTCCTCCTGTTTTCCTCACCCCCTCTGTCCCCGCAACTTCTGGCCAAGGATGGGGGAGGATGAGGAGGATGATGGTGGCGGGGATGGCGATGACGATGATGAATAGTGGTGGTTATGATGCTGCTGGTGGTGGCGGTGGTTCTGGTGATGATGCTGATGCTGATGATGCTGCTGATGCTGATGCTGATGCATGATGTCGATGACAAGGATTATGATGATGATGATGATGATGATGATGATGATGATGATGATGATGATGATGATGATGATGATGATGCTGATGAACGTTATGATGAGGAGGAGGACCACGAGAAGGAAGAGGATGATGAGGATGATGCTGCTGCTGATGATGATGATGCTGATGATAATGGCAATGATGTGTATTCCGGCCAGACCAAGTGAAAAGAGAAGGTGTTGGAAGGAATGATGGGGAGGAGGAATATCTGGATGATGACTGGGGGGGAGAATGAGAGCTATGATTATAGTATACGGACTTTGCAGATGGTGATCGTAGTACTGGTACTGAGCAGGATTATGGCGAGGATGCTGATGCTAATGCTCATCTCGCTGGTGATAGTGGCGATACTGGCGATGCTGCTGCTACCGAT